AATTATGTACTTTTATCTTGTATCATAAGAGAATATATATTACACTCTTAAAGACACAAATTTAGAAAAACCTTTATTAATTTTAGATCCTTTTATTTATAAAATTTTCTAATTTGTATCTTAAAAAAATCATTTATTTATTCCTTTGTGAAAAAGGTGCACCAAGAAACATCAGAAATTAACTTTCACTAGTTTCTTCCGTAGACATTTGATTCAAAAAAACACCACCCAAAGCGAAAAAGGGCAATGCATGTGCAAGTCAATAATAAATTAAGGCCTAGATTCCTAGACTCTTTGTATACCAAACCACCATGTGTTCCACAATTCTGCAATCCTCACACCCTTGAAACATATATCCATCCCGCCTTCTCCACCCAAGCTTCTTGCATGCCCAATTTATTTCACTAGGTCTAGAATTTTGTTCTGTTTTATTATGTTCTGTTCCCCTTTATGTGGAAGGAAGGGAACACATGTATTTATTCCATGTGCCCCAAAGTTTGGCATACTTCTGCTCACATTTGTTTATTCCAGATGAGGTGAAGGTCCCTACCTAGCTAATATTGCCGCTCTCTCCTCTGTATTTTAGCCCTTTTTAATTAAGCTTGTTTGAAGAACCCTTTTAAGCAACCACCAAAACCAATTATTTGGATCTCAATAAATATGAAATTCCAACCACACTAAACTTCCATTTATAATTAGCATGAATGGCACTGGCAGGAAATAATTGACCCGCCAAAAAAATGGCGTTCAATTTTTTGCCCAACATCTATCTAACCAGTTGAGTCCAATCAATTGGGTAAAGTGCAATTATCCAAGAAAGCCCATTCAAGTCCACTTTAGCCTACACCTTTGGTAACCCCAGAACTGGATAGGCCTCAAAGTTCACCCCTTAGAAAAACACTTCTTTAGTAAGTACTTAATTTTTCTTTAGATAAAGCTATAAAAGCCCATTTGAGCCCGTTTTATTCTTGATCCTTGTTACCCTAGAGTATAATGTTAGTATAAAAGGTTGGATTTACCATCCATTAGATGATATGCTTGACTGTTAAAGATCTGAGGTTGTAATCTTGATAAGAGAGAGGAGAATATGAAAGACCTCATAGAAAATGACAATGTTACCATTATGTAATTTAATAAAAAAAATAAAGATTTATCTAATTTGTATTTTAAAATTGAAATAAATATACACTTTTACAATTTATATAGGGTGGTGTTATAGAGATAACTTTTTTATTTCACTTTTTTATACAACTTTCACATGTTATTAAATGAGTGAATGCATTTAATATCATAAATCTATATGAATTAAAAAAACCAATCATTTTAATGACACGTCAAGTTATACAAAAAGGTGAGATAAAAAGATTATATAAAAAACATTTCCCATTTATATATATAACATAAAAGTTAACTTTTATTTTAACATTA